ACTTCTTTTGGACTGATGCACTGCAACACCTGCTGAGTGGCATTAAACAGCTTGAAATATCAAAGACTATTTTTAAAATAACTCCGACTGGATTCGTCTGAAAGAAGAAAGTCATATACACCTAGGATGCCTTGAGGGTGAGTAATTTATGGGCTAATTTTCATTTTTGGGTGAACTAACCCTTTAATATAATAAATTGGCCAAGTATTTGGAGAAAATGTATGAATGTCATTCCCAAAAGTGCCCCGTAAGTTTTGGGGCCACTGTTTTTAATATATACAGTAAGATCAGAAACTGGGATGGGGGTTGCCATTGTGTGACTGATACACTGATATACTGATATACTCATTTTCTGGTTTCATGTTCTTGTGTGTGTGTGTGTGTGTGTGTGTGTGTGCATGTGTGTGTGTGTGTGTGTGTTTCTTTCCTCAGTGGCACTTTACTTGTCCTTCTCAAACTCAAAAATCCAGCAAGGAGCTGGTGTCTCATGTTTTATTCACAAAGCAATCATCAAACCTGCCGCCATCTGACCAGAATCGGCCCTTCAGCTCGTGGCTTCTGTTTCTCATGACTAATGCATGACACAACGCCAGTCCACGCCCAGCTCTACTAACGCAACTCTTTCTTGCTCAGCCTTTATACCAACTTGTTTGTCACCCTTTACTATCATCCCAGAATCATCTGCTATATATAACCAGCTGGAGGAAACGCATGCGGTCTATTGTGTTCCACAGATACAGATGCGTGCTCATATGATTTATCGGAGCAGATAAATGACAGAACGTAAGCTCTCATCTGGATTATTCATTACGTTCAGTGCAAGAGGAATCTATGGTAATGGTAATCGAAGATGCCATACTCAGGCTATAGCTGTTGCCATGGCGCGCCAGTAATGACAAAATTCTTAAAATTATATCTTGATATTATTTTGTCAATATACAGTATAGATCTTAATATTTTGCATTATTTTTGCAGGGCTTCTTTACATACACATGCCTGTTCAGGTGTGCTTGAATAAGTTTAAAGCTTAACTCTTCAGGACAGTGTCTCCAGAAGCAGGGTTGAAGACCTCTGCTTTAGAAGAACCAACTTTACCCATGAATAGCATGGTCTTTAAAAAGTGTAATAAAGAAAATCTAAACGAAGGTTCGTGGGGAGCATATGTTCATCTAAGCACGTCAACTGCAATGGACGAGTAAGCATATATACTGTATATACTACTCATTATTTCACATCTCATTTTTTTCCAGCATACCTCTACTACCCCGCTTGACCTTTATATCTATTTACTGCTGAATTAATTTCAGGTAGATATACTTTAATCTCGAGTCAGATTCTCAATCATAGACAGCTAGCCTAACTGGTTTAATGTGAAACTGTAAAATAATAAGTATCAAAGTTATTATGATGCTCACAAGTATCCATTATATCACCCAGCCATATCTACTTCCATGAATTAAAATAAAAAAATAAAACAGTTTTTCACATGGTTACATAGATTACAGCTCCTCTAGGTGTGTTTCTCTTCCCTGAGCTCTCTGTTTGTTAATGCAGTTTATTTGCCCATAATAGTGGAGGGAAACTGCAATGTCACGCTGCTCTCAAGATGGCATCAAAACAACTTCATTAGGAAAACGTGATTAGAGCAAACTGCAGACGTAATGTAATGAAGGCTGGAGAGAACACATTTACCTCGTTTCTTGTCAGAAGTAATGGAATTTCCATTATAGGACTCAGAGCCACATGCAGTCGCTCCATCAGAATTGCTGGAGAAGACAAGAATGCTTGATACCAGTTGTATTTGCAAAATAAACAAACACTTTTTTTTTTTTTTCAATTTTAATTTCACTTTAGTCCCACCTGCTGAGTAGACCAGAGACACAGGAAGGTGAATCAGTGGCCGACCATAGCCCAGTCTTTCAAACTGGAGATAGATAAAGGTACAGTTACTTAATATAGCAAATAATTGTAATACAAATGCATTATTTAAAGATACTTGGTTTGATTGCTACTCACCAGAGGTGTCAACCATTCAAAGACATTGACAGACTCCCCATCATTGATAAAGTAGACCTGTCCACTCTGAAAATCACAAATGAATACACCATGAATACACTATACATATCTGGATTCAAAACTGCTGATTGAAATAAATAAATAAATAAATAATCATCATGCGACACATACCGCCACAAAGGCTTTATCTGCAGTCAGTGCATCTGCTGCTAAAACATGAGCCATCACCAAATTATCCACATGTACCCAGTTCATCTTGGCATTAGGGTCCCCAAAACAAAAGCTGAACAACCTCCTCTCCACATTCACCTGAGAAGAGAATCATAAAACTTTGTCTCTGCATTCTGCAATCTGACTTCACAGAGATAACAACTCTCTCTAACTGAGGGACACTAGTTTGTGTAGAGATTACATGAGGTAGCACGGGCATGCATGTCTGTATGTTGAGTCAAAGCAAAAACATAGAAAGCATGCATGTATCTGTATGAAAAGTGACAATAGAAACACAAAAAGCCATGTGTCTGTATGTAGAGCCAAAACAGAGGCACAGAGAGTCTTGTGTCTGTACGTACCCTTACGCAAAGAAAATATATTTCCTTAGATATGCATGATCAATATATTAAATGCTTTAACAGTATATTGAAAATATACAGAATAATATATTGTGTTAATATATAACAATACATGAAATAATACATAAGGAATTGCCGCTTTTCATATATTGAAAAATATGTGACAATTTACTTATCATAATGTATGTAAATTTTATATTCAGTAATACACTGCATAACATATAGATGTAAATGTGATAAGAGATGGTCTTGTGTGTATATAAATATATTGAACATACATTTACTCATGCAGTATGTGTGTGTGTGTGTGTGTGTGTGTATATATATATATATA